AAAAAAATTCTTGTGGTTAGATAAATGTTGGTAAACTAAAATGCTATACCTTCTTCTTGAATATTCACAATGTATATTACTATGAAAGGTTATGAGAACTCTCAGTACAAAAAATAATTAGTTTTGAACTTTAGTTCAGCTTTTTGTAAATTTGTTTGCATATGTAATACTTTGATTTGAAGTGTCCACATTAAAATCCTGAAAAACAGAGGTGAGTCTTGGTGGTTCAGTGATTTAAATGCTTTGCTGCTAAAAGGCTGATGGTTCAAATCCACCAAGTAGCTTTGTAGGAAAACAGATCTGACAATCTGATCCCATAAACATTACAGCCAAGGAAATCCTATGAGCCAATTCTGCTCTGTCACACGCAGTCATTATAAGTTGACAACACTTCTGTAAAAGTCCAGGAATGTGTGTGCCATGGTACTTTTTTAGGGGTGTCATAGTCTCTTGCAAACAGAAATATTTCAACAAATTTCTTGCTTATTAAGTTTATTATTAGTATTTTTCTTCAGATAAGATGGGGCATAAAAGCCTAAAGCATGTGTATGTGTGTGTTTTTAATTTAGGGTTTGTTGGCTTATTTTGGGGAGCACTGGTTGCGTCGTTCTTAAAGCTCTAGGTTGCCTACTGGACAAAAGATGTGGCAGTTTGCTTCTCTAAAGATTACAGCCTGATAGGCTAGTTCTCCTCTAGCCTACAGGGTTGTTATGAGGTGGAATTGACTTGACGGCAAGAATTTAGTTTATTTTATTAATAAACTGTAGGTCTACTTACATAAGGAGTCCTTGTGTGACGCTGTGGGTTAATGCACCAGACTGCAAAGCCGTTTGAACTGCAAGGTTGGTGGTTCAAGCTCACCAGCTGCTCCTTGGAAAACTGGTACAGGGTCACTATGGGTCGGAGTCGACTCAATGGCACTTAACAACAACAACATACTTACATAAAGTAATAGATAAGGTCTTTAAAATTTTTTGGAGGTATTTTGGTCTAATATTCCCAGCCTTTTTATGATGATCTCCTTTTATTTTATTTCTTCCATGGGCGGGCCATATTGTTAATTGTTATTGAGTTGGTTTGAACTCACAGTGACCCTGTATTAGGTTTCCAAGACTAAATCTTTGTTGGAGAAGAAAATCTTATCTTTCTGTAGTGGTGGCCTTGAACCACTGATCTTGTGGTTTGTAGTCCAGTGCTTATCCTTTTAGAGCCACTATGATCCCTCCATGGGCCATGTGTTAATGTATAAACTACCTATCAAACAAGACATTAAGCATAAGATGATAAGTTTTGGTTCCCAAATTAATAGACTTCTGGTAAAAATATAAGTTATTTGATGTTGCAGTGGGTTTATACTGCTTTATACTTGTTAAAAGGTACCCTGTTGGAATAGTGCTTAAGTGCTCAGCTGCTAACTGAAAATAAAACTAGATTTTGAAAATTGTGTTTTAATTCATTGAGAAATGTACATTATTTATAAGGCACCGTATTCCGTCATCACCTTCCAGATTGAGTTTGCATATAATGTACATAGAACTCTCTAACTTTAGCAGCTGGTATAATATTTGCCACTATTCTGATATGAATCTTCTTTTATTTCCCCTCCCAGGTAATTCTAAAGAAGAGCAGAGGTTAGAAGTCAAAGAACACAGTCTTGCAAACTATGTGATACATTATTTTAGGGGTTAACAGGAGATGTTACCCTTTTCAAATATCTATTAAAATATTGGTTAGTTGTTACACTTTTCAAATATCTATTAAAATATTGGATAGCTGAAGGATATATTTGTATATTTTTCTACTGGCATTGAAATAGTTCAGATAAACATAAGATTATTTAACCATTTTGAACTATTATGGCTTATTTGAAGTGAACTCTTCATTTTTGTTTTCATTTTATTGCCATTGCACTTTTTTTATATATAAAAATCAAAGTTTACAATGTTAGTACTGGTGTGGCACTGTGGGTTAATGCGCTGGATTGCAAAGTCAGTTAGAACTATAAGGTCAGCAGCTCAAGTTTACCAGTTGCAGTTCAAGCTCAACGGCTGCTCCTCGGAAACAAAGTTGCTATAAGTCGGAACCGACCTGACAGCACTTAATAGCAGCATAGATAAGTCTTTACTTACAGACTGTCTCATTAGCAGCCATTTATTTATGATGATAGTAACAAATCTGCTATTCAAACATTTTGTGCATCAAGCATGAATATCTGTCACTAATGCTGAGGTGCAAGGCAAGCATAAGGATATATATCAACTTGGCTGTGGCATGATTCTCAGTAGCTTGGCAGTTATATAATGAATTAATTTAGCAGTTGTATAATGATGTAGTTATTCTCTATTTTGTGATCTGATGAGGTCATTGTCCATTTTTGCATAATGCCAATTTTCACGTAATGAACTGCTTTTTGGAACCTAGCCATGTTGATAAATGAGTGTGGGTGTACCTTTAGAAGGTATACTTCTTAGACCTAAGTGTATGTATATTTAAATTTATCCATACTGGCTATAAAATTACTCTCTGAAGAAAGATAACATACAGTCAAATCTGGGTATGTTTTAAGTATTAGTTTAAATTTGTTTCTTCCTTTCACATAACCAGTGCTATCTACTTTTATGTTGTTCTTATAATAATTACAAAATTTCTCAACTGCAATATTGCAAACATGAAGTTTTTTCAAAACCTGGTTTTAAAAGTAACTCCTTTCTCTCTCCACAAAACAAAAGAGAAATTATGGAACAAACAGATTTATTTTTGTCAAGTCACACAGTTTACTTCATGGGTGTTTTTTTTCCCTGCTAAGGCATCCTTTAGAAATTTATTGCTGGACAGCACCTAACAACAACAACCACTATGATCAAGATATAGAACTATTCTATTACACCAAGACCCTCCTTGTGCTATCCTTTTATACTTACACCCAGTACCACCCGTCACTCTGGCCACCATAACCCTTTGGCAACCACTATTTGTCTATTTTTGTCATTCTGAGACTTTTACAAATGGACTGTTATAAATGGAATCATATAGGATATACCTTTTTGAGATTGACTTTATTTACTCAAATCTTGAGATACACCCAGGTTGCTACATGTATCAATGCTTTATTTGGTTTTGTTAGTGAATAACATTTCCTCGTATGGAAGTACCAGTTTGTGTAATCATATTCCCATTCAGAGTTATTTTAGATATGCCTAGTTTTTTGGCTATTGCAAATAAAGCTACTGTGAATAACTATATATGTTTTTGTGTGGGTCTGAATTTTAATTTTGGAATAAATGCTGTGTTGTATGGTAAGAATATGTTTGTGTATTTATAGTTATAATTATTTTTTGTTGTTATTGAGTTCATACACATCAGTTCATAACACCAATTCAACAGTTTCTACAAAGTGGAATTCAATGACATAGTTACAATCTTCAAATTGTACAGCCATTTTCATCCTTCATATGTGAGTTGTTCTTATCTCATTAACATAAACTTACTGCCCCTTGATGTTTGTAGCTGTTTTTCCTAATTTTGAGTTGTGTCACATCAGGAAGGTCTTCAAAGCTTTGAAAGTTCTGAAAACAACTTTACCCCATCCATGCAACTAAGATATACTTTAAGGAGGTAGCTTTTCCCAGTTGTATTTTGAGTACCTTCCAACCTGAGGAACTCATCTTCTAGCACTATCCTGCTTTATATTGAATATGTTGTGCTGAATATATCCCACCCAATATATCCAGACACTGTCCTGCTTTGTCCATACAGTTTTGCTGGCTTTTTTTTTTTTTCCTTTTAAGTAGATCTCCAGATCTTTCTTACTCCAGTCTGTCTTAGTATGGAAACTCCATTTAAACCTCTCCAATGGGTGATCTTGTTAATATTTTAAAATATTTTCCAGCATCACAGTAACACATAGGCCACTGAAAAGTCACCTGAGTATAAAACAGACAGTTTATATCAACATAAAAATTCCTCACAACTAGATGATAAACTGAGGAAATATGAAATTATTAAGGATTTTATTTTACTTAGGTGCATTATCATCATATCAGTACCCATGGATGCAACAGTTAAGAAATCAAACAGCATATTATTTAGTAAATTTGCTGCAGTCTAAAAGTGTTAAAAAACAAATTTGTCGTTTTGAAGATTAAGGTGCTTCTGATCCGAGCTATGGTATTTTCAGTTGCTTCATATGCATGTGATACCTGAACAATGACAAAAGAAGACAGAATATTGGACACATTTGAACTGTGGTATGGACAAAGAATATTGAATATGTTATGAGTTTCTAGAGGCATGAACAAATCTATCTTGGAAGAGGTTCTTCCAGAATGTTCCTTAGAAGTGAGGATGGTGAGACTTTGTCTTATATTTTAGGCATGTTATCAGGAAGGATGACACATATCCTTGACAAGAAAAAACATCATGTTAGGTCAAGTAGAGGGTTCAGTGAAAAAGTGGAAGTGTTTCATTGACAGGTCGGTGAAAAAGTGTAAGACCCTCAATAAGATGGATTAACCGTGTCTGCAGCCATGAGCTCAAACATACCAAGGACTAAGAGAATGTATTTGGTTCTGTTGTACACAGGCTGTGTTTTGTTCTGTTGTACATGGGATTGCTTTGAGTTGGACCAACTGGAAGGTACTTAACAAAAAACCAGCCACCTAAGTCTATCTGGTCTTCCAAATTGCTATTGTCAAGTTGATCTCATATTGGTAGATCTTAAAAAAAAAGAGCCTGATGCATAGGACAGATGAATTTTGTTAAGCAAGTGGTTCAATCTTGACAGGTGCTCCTCGGAAACCCTGTACAAGATCACTGTGAGTGGAAACCAACTCGATGGCGTTTCCCAATAAGCAACAACAAGAAGTCTATTTTTTTGATTTTAGAAAGATGCCAAGAGGTATTTTTGGTTTAAGATTTAAAGAATCTCTCAGAGCACTTCATGGCTCCAGAAAGCCTAGATTCCATTTTTTTTTTTTTTTAAACTGCCAGAGTATTTTCCAGTGACTATACCATTTTGCGTTCACTTTAGCCCTGTATGAAAAACTTTGCGTCCTCATGTTGCTGTTAAGTGCCAGTGAGTAGGTTCCTACTCATAGGATCCTGTATAGCGTTTCCAGGGTGGGGCTGATAAATTTGAACCACCGACCTTGCATTTCAAACTGACCTTATGTCCAGCTCTACACCTGGATTCTACTTTAAACACATTATCTCTTAAGTTTTGTTTAAGCTGTTTTGATAGTGGTGTATTGATATCTCATCGTGGTTTTCATTTGCATTTCCCTAATGGAGATCGCACTTAACAACAACAACAACAATGGAGATCGCATGATAGAATTCTACAAAATCAATGATTTGTTCATCTCAAATACCTTCTTTAGACAGCATAAGACACGACTATACACATGGACCTCGCCAGATGGAATACATAGAAATCAAATTGACTATATTTGCAGAAAGTGATGATGGAAAAGCTCCATATCAGTCAAAACAAGGCCAGAGGTGGATTGTGGAACAAGTTTGCTCATATGCAAATTCAAACAAGCTGAAGAAAATGAAAACAAGTCCATGAGAGCCAAAGTATGACATTGAATATGTTGTGTTGAATATATCCCACTAGAATTTAGAGATCATCTGAAGAACAGATTTGATCCATTAAACACTAAAGACTGAAGAAAAGAAGAGTTGTGGAATGACATCAAGAATATCATACAGGAAGAAAACAAAAAGACTTTAAGAAGAAAAGAAAGAAGGAAAAGATCAAAATGGATGTGAGAAGAGACACTTAAACTTGTTCTCCAGTGTAGAGATGCTAAAGCAAATGGAAGAAATGAGGAGGTACAAGAACTGAACAGAAAATTTCAAAGGTCAGCTCAAGAAGATAAAGTCAAATATTGCAACAAAATGTGCAAAAAGCTTGAGTCAGAAAACCAAAAAGGAAGAACACACTCAGCATTACTCAAGATGGGGGAACTGAAGCAAAAATTCAAGCCTCGACTTTCAATATTGAAGGATTCTCTGGGCAAATTGTTAAATGATGCAGAAAGCATCAAGAGAAGATGAGAGGAGTACACAGAGTCACTACCAAAAGGAAATGGTTGATGTTCAACCGTTGCAAGAGGTAGCATATGATCAAGAGACAATGATAATGACAGAGGAAGTCCAAGGTGCATTGAAGAAATTGACAAAGAACAAGGCGCCAAGAATTGATGGAATTAAAAGTTGAAATCTTTCAAGAAAGTGATGTGGCACAAGAGGCACTCATCTCTGCTAAGAAATTTGGAAGACTTCTGGCTGACTGATTGGAAGAGATCCATATTTGTACCCATTCCAAAGAGAGGTGACTCAATGGGATGTGGAAATCATCGGACAATCTCTTTGATATCCCATGCAAGTAACGTTTTACTAAAGATAATACAGAAAAGACAGCAAGCATACATTGACAGAGAACTTCCAGAGGTTCAAGCTGGATTCAGAAGAGGGTGTGGAACAAGGAATATCATTGCTGATGTCAGATGAATCTTGGCTGAAAGCAGAGAGTATCAAAGATGTTTACCCGTGCTTTATTGACTACGCAAAGGCTTTTGATTGTGTGGATCATGACAAGCTATGGACAACATTGTGAAGTATGAGTATCCC